TAGGGAAACCTTGTTTTTACACTGTGAGGGCAAAGCAACATGGATCATGGGTCAGTAACCCAGCACAACCTCCTCTTCCTTCTTCTCAACCACGCCAGTCTCCTCCAAAATCCGTCCCTTAACCCAAACACCTCCACCCAGTCTCTTGGCTCAGCTGGCCTGGTTTCTCCCTTCATGGCCATATCCCAAGGGGTAGGACTTACATGTCCAAGGGCTCCGGAGAAACATGTGTGAGCAGCTGTGATGTCACCCTTTTTCCAGTAGGCCTCGCCCAGCTGATTCCAGGCCTCCACCAGGTTGGGGTCAAGTTTGACAGCCTTGGACAGCAGCTCCTCAGCCTGGGGATTATAGCTGGGAGTCACGTTCAAAGCCTTCCCCTTCAGCATCAGCATTTGAGCACGATCCTGGGGAGCAACTGCAACAGACAAAAACAATGCCTATCAGTCACTGAGATTTAGACAGTCCACAACATCAGATAACCAGGCCCAAGAATTTATGATTAAAAATAAATCAGTACAATACAAAAAAGCCAATACGTTACCAGTAATCATTAGTTAATTTATCAATCAAAGTTTGAAAGATCAATTCACTGCAACTGGATTAGCTTACTGGTTAGGATGGTAACAATCTTAATCAATCAACAATATACAGGGTGTGTTATTAGGCTTGGTCTTTGAGGTGCTGCAGCATATTCTGATGGAGTAAGTTCAGCATGTAATTGCACAAACCCTTTTAAAGCCAACCCGTTTACAGCTAATAATCTAACAGAATTAGCTCATTCATGTGTGCTTTTATCCAAAAGAGAAATATCCCACAATTCCAGGCATACAGATAATTTTTACTGGTCACAGGTGTACAACGAGAACATAAATCCCTTTCTCTATGGTACGTTTTGCAGAGGCCAGGGCAATTTAACTCCTAGTATATTTCAAGAGAAGAATTTAGCATGAGTACAAAGCATTATGGGTATATACAACACTGACTCACAAATGAAGGTTACAACTTGGGTCATGACTGCCTATGCAGGGGGTCGGACTCGATGATCTATTGAGGTCCCTTCCGACCCTAACATCTATGAATCTATGAATCTGATCAGGCCTCAGGGCAGAGAGATCAACCAGCTCCCAAGGGTTGGGAGATTGGCTGGCTCAGAGGTATTGGAAATACAGCTCAGGATGTTTTTGGTCCAGAGGGTGCTGGCTCCAATCTGTCCAAAGTGAGAGGTTGGCTCAGAGGTGTGAACACTGGGACAATAGAGCCTTTCCCTTTAGAAGAGGAGTCACATTTCCTTCTTTTACCCTGTTACCTTCTATCTCTTTCATCTGCTGTAGCGTCTTCTCCATTTCCTCCAACACATCCTTCTGCTTTTTCCCAGCATCTTCCACACTGTGGCTCTCAAAGTAGTGCTCCCGGAAATAGTAGAGGCGGTCAACCAAATCCTTCATTGACAAGTGACAGATAGACAAGGGGCATGAGAGGGAGAAAGGACAACACTAGCGACCTACATCTACTCATCAGAAGCCCACGGCTACCCAAAGCTGTATGGTTAAAGCCCTGGATGGGGACTCAAGAGACCTGCATTCAAATTCCAGCTCTGCCACAGTCTCCTCATGAGATCTCAGGCAACTCACTTTGGCTTGGAATTTCAAAGGATCTAAGTAAGTTAGGGGCGCCCATAATGTTCCAGTAAAAGTCAATTAGGCCTCTTATTCCCTTGGGCTCCTTTGGTAATACAAGTCACCAAATTATTCTGTGCTAGCAGGACCCTGTCAGTGTCCTTGTCCCCCTGATTTACATATGGCATGTTTCTGGTGTTTCTGGGTAATGTGCCTGGGAGTTGTGCGATGAGGTTTTTAGGACTGATTGATTGATTTGATTTCTATGCAGGCCTCCCCCAAAAAGCTCAGAGTGGCTTACAACAACAAAAGCATAAAACAGGTAAAATAATGCCCCAAAGACTACCTAAGCTTAACCCCACCTGCTAAAAGCCTGCCCAAATATAGTGGTCTTGCAACTGATTTTGGAAGATGGCCAGGATCAGTGGGCAGGAGGGAGCTCCAGAGCTGAGGAGCAACAACCGAGAATGACCTCCCACATTTGAGCAAACTGAACTTGGGACACAGGTGGTACTTGCAATGGGTCGTTCTCAGCTGACCTTGGGAATCATGATGGAGCATAATGGAGGAGGCGGTCCCTTAAGTATGCAGGACGCAGGCTAGACCAGACGTGTCAGACTCACCCCGTGCCCTGGTCCAGATCCAGACCGCAGGGCTCGTTACAGGCTGGATATGCAGCAGCATCCACAGCGGAGGCAACAGTAACTGGGACAGTGGCTGCAGCTGCAGGGCAAGCAGTCACAGGCCAGCTGACCACTTGCTGTGCTAGAGGCAATGCAAGTGGCAGGCACAGCCCTTGCTTGCATCCATCACCATGGGCAATGCCTACCAAGGTGCACATTCTGCGACAGACCCAACCCACTGCAAGACACGTTCCCAAATTCCCCAGCTTGCTGGTAGTTCAGTAGGCCAGATCAAGCCAGTGGGGCTGTATATTTGGTACCCCTAGGTTAGGCAAACTTATATAGGATAATTTAGATAGTGATGATCCTGCCTTGAGCAGGGGGTTGGATTAGAAGACCTCCTAAAGTCCCTTCCAGCCTGTTTTTTTCCCTATGATTCATTTAGCATTTAAAACCAGAAGGCACCAGTAGATCACCTAGTCTGAGACAGATGAAAACAATGGCTTTTTGCTGTTTGGGGCATGAATCGTCTCTCGCCCTGTAACTGCACAGCACCTGATAGAAGGGCCTGAACATGGCTCATCTATCAACCTGTGGCACAAGTGCTCAGTGGATACATTTGATCCAAATCAGATGTATGCCAGTCTCACCACCTGAAAGATAGTCCCAAAGAATTACATTCACGTCGCTGTCACTTCTATTATTAGTTGTTTGTAATGTAGCAGTATTCACCAAAGATCGGCGCCCTAACCTGATTCCAGTTATGGCAAGCACTGCATACTCCAACCAAGCCAAGGGCCCTCATTGTGCCAGGTGCTGTACCAACGAGTACTGAAAACACAACCCCATTCTGTTCAGCGGGCACCAACCTTCTTGGCAAGTGTACCACAAACTGGCCTTGCACGCTCCCCGAGTGCAACTCCTCTGCTGAATCCGCTGCTCTTCTTTTTCCTCCCTTCCCTATGCTCCCTGCCCATTCTGCTGTCCTACTTTCTGCTTCCTGCTGTTCTCCAACCTGCCGTGTGCCACAAGTCGAGGCTGCCTGTGCAACATGTGGCATGCATGCTGCAGGTTGGACACCCCTGCTGTACAGCACTGCACAGACCCAGATGGAGATCAAGACCCCTCAGTCTATGTGGCACCTAGCACAGGTACTAAACGGACCCTATAACACCAGCATTGTGCCAGACACTGCAGTGACACACAGCAGTAATCCAACTCAGAGCTGTTGAGAGAGAGCAAGGGGAAGAGTTCATAGGAAACTGGTGTCAGGAAAAGGTAGTAAAATGGAGAAATATGTTAACAAGCCAGGGGCTGTAAAATTAAAAAGCAGCATAAAGCTGGGGGAAGGAATATGACAAAGATTTGTGTATAAGGCACAGGAATGTGATGAGAGCCAGAGAAGTAGGGGATGTGAGGCAGAAGTGTGTGTGTGTGTGTGTGTTGCAGGGGGAGACATTAGAAGGCATGCAAGTCCCTGTGTGAGGAAGAGGAGCGTGCATAGGTGTGACACGCACGAGCTGGGGACGAGGCATCACTCCTGCAGGCACACTAAAGGAGTCTGAAAGCTGCACAGTAATAAAGGAAGACAAGTGCTTTTGTGAATGTAAAAGCAAAAGTGGAGGTGTGGTGGAAAAGCCAGGCCAACGGTGAGTACCGGAGCAGAGAGGCTTGTGCTTGTGCGTGCAAACACGCCCCTTTTCTCCCTCCCAACAAGCAGCACACCCAGCAGAGCCACTCTGGAAATGACAGCACCAGGGTTGCTTTCAGCCCCAGCTCTTTGCAATCTATACCCACTCCTCCCCAAGACGAATAGCCCCTGCCCATGCCTGCTGGTCTGCACTGCACAGATTGCTGCCAGGACCTGGGGAGGGCAGAAAAACCCTTGCTGCATGCCTGCAAGACCTGCTTTCCCCTGCCTGCTGTGGGTGCACCCCCCTGGAGCAGCAGCGCTGCCTGCCTGGTACACAAGTCCTGCAGCCGCCCTACGCCGCTACCTGCACAGCTTGCAAGGCCGGGGGAGTTTCTTCTTCCTCCTCTGCCATGTTGGCCCCAGTTCCTCCTCCTCTTCCTCCTCTTACATCACATCCAGAGAGATGAGGCTCCAGCCTGCAGCCACAGGGACACCTAAGGGCATGGAGGGGAAGTGGTTCCTGGCCTGCTTGCTTGCTCTCTCTCTGACACACACCTGGTGTTGCTCTCAAAACACCCATCCTGGCCTTCCTGGTTAGGGGTATTTGTATTCAGCAGATCCTGGAGAGGGCAGATTTCCTACCTTCCCTGTGCTGCCTCTTTCTCACGTATGCCCACCCCATGCCACCCACCTACTTTCTCATAGCTAGGATCCCTCCCCAGTCTGTGCTCCCTGCTGCTGAAATCCCTTCTCCGTTTCTCCCCTGGTGTATGATACGCTGAAAATTAAACGGCAACAAATCAACATTTTATTTCCTTTTAAAAAATGAAATCCCATCTATGAGAAAAGAAATTATCTATTTAGGAAAGACACGTTAGATAGCACAAGAATATGATGGGTGGGAGAGGCCCTGCTCCTTTGGTTGCTCCTTCTATGAATTATGAGTCCTGGTGAAAGCGAGGGGTGAAATTAGTGCACAGTTGAACTTTAATTGGGGGGAAATTAACTAGCATAAGTACTGCAAAGACAGGATGGGGGGTACCCGGAAGAGTAGATTTGCATACACTGGATAACATACTGAGAAACCCACACACAGGTTTGGAGACAAGCAAAGACATAAAGGAAATATGCACCTACATGTGCACACAAGCCCACATCAGGAAATACACACTTTTTATGTGCAACTGTATATGAAACATGCACACTTAAAAGTATGCCCATTGCATATCATAATGTGCACGCCCACACCTTGAGATAATAAATATCCTCACTTGCAAATAACCATATAGCACACAGCCACAGATTCAATATTGTGTATATTTATGTGACAAGCCAAAGTGCAGACAGGGGTTGAAACACACGCTGATTTCCCATATGCAGATAACACACACCTGTGTAGACTTACACATGTGCACAAGCAAACTCAGGCACAGACTTACATTCCCTCTCCCCCATCCACACCCTAATACATACAACCTCACAGATCTGCACCCGCATTTAGACGCACACACAAGTACATTCTCTCTCTCAGATATGCATGCAGCTGGCCAAAAATAATCAGTGTGTGATTAATTAAGTGCATGAATAATTGAATGACCTCCTACAGCCTGGAAGTGAATCAGTTTTACAAGCTGAGGGGGACACCCATGAGGGAGAGAAGTTTACCGGCAGAAGATATCAACCAGCATTACAGCCTGAGAGTGACAATTTGCCGACAACAAGCAGTGTGGCAGGGCATTGCAACTCCTAAAATAAATATGCCAGCCCTAGACAATGAGTGTTTCTGCTTTCTGCGGCACTGGATGAGCTAATTTTCTCAGAGGCAGGACATAGCCAGTTACATCCGCTTCATCTTGAAGGCCCGGCTGGCTCCAGGATGCGACTCCAGCTCATTGGTAGGAGAAGCAAAAGTGAAGAAGCTGTTGCCAGGTTCGCCTGCAGGAGGGGACGTGGCAAAAAAGGGCTTGAAGTGGAAGTCTCCCTCGCCGCACCTGCCCCGGACTGGTGTGATTTCCCCAGGCAGCCTGCCAGCATTACCTAGGAAGGGGGAGATGTACAAGGTCAGAAGAAGACTGGATTCACCGTCCTGAGGGACCTTAGTGTTGTGACAAAGCAAGAGCCAAAACAGTGAATGACCACTGCATGAGTGAAAGGGACAAAGGTAGGGATTGTCATGGGAAACCATGAAATTTATGGGCCTCCCTTTGTCCTAAATTCACTAGCCTGAATTCATAACCTTTTCTATGAGGGAACCAGCTGCAGAGAAACACCAATGCTTAAGCCAGCCTCAATCTTTTAAAACTCATGAGTCGCACTCTGAAAATTGCCAAGATTGGCTTTCAAATAATGAGGATTTTTTTTTTAATTATATAAAGATGTCTTCCTTAGTTCTGGAGCCTTTATTCGCTTCCATATTCCATCTTCTATTCTACAACCAGGGCTACTAAAACTTTATTTTTCTTTAATCCCATAATCGCTGAATCCCAGGAGCTGTGGCTTTCAGAAACACTGATTCACAGTAAAGTCATGAGTTGGCAACTCTGGATGACTAGCCACAGCTGGAGAAATTACAAAAGATATTCAGTGCTGTGGGATTCAGGACATTAATCAACCCGTGTTCTGGAGAAATCCTGACCAAGGGAGAATAAAGGATTTCAGGTTCTTGTAGTCTTTCTTCTCTCTGCTGACACTGCTAAGGAAGGAGGCTAGTTAGTATAAGGGAGGTTGATAATGTCGACAACCTGTTACATGGGAGCAAGCATTTTCCAGTCTCCGGCGAGAACCAGTTTGGCAGCCTTCACCTCTCCCACCCCGTGCACACCCAGAAAAAACACCAGTATCATTTCTCCTCCTGCTCAAGGATGAAGGTGAAAGTGTCCCCTTTCACTTGAGATGTCAACATTATATCCGCTCCGGTGAATAATTGAATTAAAAACATCTCCCACGGGCCTCACCCTTATTCAATGGAAAGCCAAAGATGGCAGGCTGAGGCATCATGGGTGGCTCATAGGCAGCCTCCTGATTAGCCACCGCAATGTTGCGTAGACGGAGGCTGTCATAAAGGCCTTGGAGCTTCTGGTACTGGCGGTTGCGCTCCATGAGCTTCTCAGAAAGGTCACTGAATTTCTTCTTGTACTCTTCTAATACCTTCTTCAGGGAGGAGACCTCACTCTTCATGGAGGTCAGCTCCACATCCTTGCTCTGCAACTGCTGGGTATACACCTTCTCCATCTGCTTCAGGTGGCCCTCAGCCTTACTAAAGGTATATTCTTGATACAGGCGCTCCTGGTGAACCTGCCACGGGCAAAAAAAATATGCATGAAGGGCTTCGACAATTGTTTGCCATAGGACATTCAAAGCAATTCACTTTAGATATAGTGCAGCAAAAGAAGGATGGTCTTGAGTGCAGGCACTACGGTGGGTTCAATTCCCACCTCTGTCCCAGCAAATTTGGGCAAGTCAGTCGGACCAGTACTTTCAAGAGTGGCAACTAATTGTGTGCAGACTGTCAATCCTCTACCTCTTTGTAAAATGAAGATGGAAATGCTCCCTTCCAGGGGCGTGTGAAGATAATTCGTCAATGTTAATGAGGTGTTTAGATATTATGGTCATATGGGGGAAGGAAAAAACAAACCTAAGAGTCAAAAATATGCAACAGAGACAATTGGCGAAGAGGGAAAGAAACTTCGACGGTGACAGAATGGAGAGAACGAACAAGAGAGCAAAAATGGACAGATGGAGGAGAAAAGGAAGAAAGAAGTGCCACAAAGCGATGCTTTTGACAATGGAGGCTGAGTGGCAACGCCCTGCCGCACAACAAAATAAAATAAAATAAAACAATGGGTTTCCTTAATCTCGTTCCATCCCCGCGACTGCTTGGCTTTATTTTCTCAGTGCTCAAGCCAAAAATCTCGGATGGCGTTTCAGCAGATGGCCTGACAGTAACAGCAGTCCTAACAACTTGCAGTTACCTGCGTAGTAAAACTCTGCCCTGCATTCAAATATTTGAAAATTGATTTCTGGGTCTTGCACCAATCTAGCAGAAAAATCCCTTCCCAATTTATGTTTCAGGAGGCAAGTCTGAAGGCATCTGCCCATTTTAGGGTACCGTGTTAAGTCTCATCTGAGCTGGTTTTTTACCTGGTACGTCCAGAAGGCCAGCGCACGAGAACTAATGTCCAGGACAATCTCTGGCCGCAGGCCGGCCAACACCATGGCCTTGTATTCCTCAGAGGGATTCAGCTCAGTGCGGACAATGTCTAGCTTGCCGGAAAGGGTGCTGTTGCAGGCCGGACAGACTGCCGGTGAGCGACTGAACTCCCCACTACCGTGTTGGTCACAAAAGATGTGCGAGCAAGCTGTGACCCAAGCGTAGCCAGAGAGCTTGACACGACACTTGCGGTAATTGCACAGCAGGGTGTCCTCGCACACGGCCATTTCGATGGAGTCAGCGGCAGAAGTCTCGACTCCAAATGAAACACCCGCCGCTGGAAAGGAATCTGCCACTTCCCACGGCAAACCTAGGAAGCAAAGCAAACGTTCAAGCCGGGATAGCCAAAGCAGGTAGGCTTTCGATTCTCAGGGAATTACGGGCATGGGGCATCCGACTTCACGGCACAGCTGCCAGATGTGACAAGGCACGTTCTCCACTGGGTTTTTACTTCTGCCAATGCACAATGGCACTGTCTGTGCCCACACAGATTGCACCCGCGCTAACACCGATATATTAGATTAAAGGTGACTGGGAATCAGGATGCCCGTGCCGTTCCCGGCTCTGGGAAGAGGATGGATGTAGTGGCTACACCCGAAGGGATGGGGATTCAGACCCCCAGTATTTAACCTCCCCGATTGACATGGTGAACTTGGGCAAGGGTAAAATCGATCATTATTAAAACAGCTATATCCAGGTCATGTGTATGACCTGGATATGGTCATATGGTGTATGTTGGGGGCTTAGCCCACCTCCACGGCAGTCACCCAAGAGCTGATAGAGGGTTTTTACATGCGCCCGCGCCAGTCTGTACCCCAAACTAATGGTGTTTAGTCATACAGCACATCCGTATCCAACGCTTAGCTGTAACCTTTAGATCCTATTGTGTTGACAGGCCTTTTCCCCTCTGCCACAGGTGCCAATATTGGTTATTTTTATATATGTAACATGCACAGTGGGAACGCAACCCGGCTTTCCTCTGGGGCCGCTATTGGGACTTGGGGCTCGACGCCGGCCGCTCCTCATCCATGCTGACTGGAAGTTAAACAACACTATGGCCGCGAGCTTGACATGAGGCACAAAGTAAGGGGTCCCTCGTGGCCTCGGCGCCTACCAGCGCAGGCCTGTGAGGCGCCACGCCGGGATTTTTTGGAGCCGGGAGAGACGAGGCTGCCCAACAGGTTTGAACAGCGAGCTGTCACAGGGTGGCCGCCATTTTCTAAAAGGGAGGTGAATGTGCACAAATTGAGAGGACAGGGCTGGAAGCTGACATTTCCTGAAGGAACACCATCACTAAAACGTTGGGGCGGCAAGGAGAAAGCAAAAAGTGGGGGAAATGGGGCAGCAGCCTCTAAGGACCCGCGGGCGCCACCATGCGCCCGGCGCTGCCTCCTCGCCTCAGCGGTGGGGGGGGGGCAGACCGTACCATTCTGAAGCGGGCAACGTCATTTAGGTTTCCCCGAGTAATTAGCGCACTAAGTAACACGAGGGTTTAAAGGCAGTTCACCCTCGGCTCCCTCTAAGAAATCGTGCCTGGATGTTTGATTCAAATAAGCCGCTTTCCCCACGCTTCCCTTCAAGAGAAATGGTTTGAGCCGAGACGCTGGCCCTGTCTCTGGCTGAGGGGCGGCTCTGGCACCAACGTCCTCCTCAGGAATGGTACCGAACCGGCACCCGCCGCCGCTCGCGCCCACCCACGTGTTTCAAACGTACACCTCCGACGTGCACACTGAGTTATTAACATTTAAAAGTGCACACGGACTTTATAAAGACCGTGTATATACACGCAGCTACCACAGACATACGCTGCGTGTGTGTGATATATATACGCGCGCACACACACGACCCATCCACAAATTGCCTCAAAACTGAGGGGCCTGGGACAGATGGAGCCAGAGCAGCCGCTGGCCAACCCAAAAAATCAGCACCAGAAATAACAAGTGTCTTAAACCAACTGCTCGACCAAATGAATGCAATTGCTACCTTTCCTGCTGCGTTTGGATTGAAAACAAAATAAAATAAAATAAATAGCAGCTAGGTTGCAAGAAAGGCTGAATGTCTTTTTTCGAACAAAAGCATTTTTCTGCTTTAAAAAGTGCTGTGTGCTGTAGAGAGAGGGGGAAAAAAAAGCGACATGGGTTTGTGATTGGATGAGTTTGCAAAAAAGCTTAAGAAAATGAGGTGTTGAGGTCCCAATTCAAGTCCCATTGAAATAAAAATATTCAGAACATGTTTGAAAAGCCCGGCCGTGCGAGAAATGCTTCCTCCCCCACCCGCTCCCACCCAAAATATTAACGAACAGCAGTAGATCGTCAGAAAATGCTTTTATTTGGGGGCCCGCATCTTGAGGTTCGTCACGGTTAAATGGTAGAGATAATGTTGCTTATTATTAATACTGTTGTTCAGTTAGATACTCAAAAGTGATTGCCAAACTCTTGATGAGAAGGGAACGGCCCAGATTAGCAGCCGTCACTTGTACTGACAGCACAATGTCCTCTTCTAGCTGCAGGGATTCACACCTAAATTTCCTCAAGTACTGCTACGTGCCGTTCAGCCGCCACTCCCAGGTCTCCCATTGTTTCAGCCATTTATCATCTGTTTGCACAAGTCACACCTTGTAGCAGGGTTGAGGTGGCAGCCCTCCAGAGAAAAGGATTTTTTTTTATGGTGTGAAAAGAAAAACAAATTCCTGAAGACAAATTGGAAAACATCAACCTAACCCTAAATAAATGCTGGGGGGGGAAGAACCCCCACACCATACAAAAAGTGGACTTTCCAGATTAAATTCTGGATGTAAAGTAACTCAACTACTGTTCGTTAATCTCAATTCCAGATTCTCAATTCACACATGCTAGGGGTGGCCAATCTCTGTGTATGGTACACAGCAGACCAGGCAGGGAGCAGAAACAGAGATAAGAAATTGGAGCAGCACTTGGCCAACAAGGAATACCACAAATTAAGCCTATATCTTCTCCCCACTAATATATAGTCACTAGGTACTTTAAAAGACCTTCAGAGAGATGGCATTTTAAACGTGGTCAAACCCTTATTTGCTGTAGTGTGGACAACGGAAAAATCTCTGGCAGCAGTGGATTAAGTCTGATATTTGCAAGAGAGCATGGTATTTAACTACTAATCTACACAACAACAACAAAAATCCAACTCCAGGCCACAGTTGTGTTCAAAGTAAATCGATTCCATTTCTCCTTCCTTTCCTTTTTTCAAAGAGGAATATCCAAACCTCCAAAATCCTTTTACTTAGGAGGCTTCCGAGTTTCCCAAATCCTTTTACTTATTCTATTTCTGAGTACAGTCTCAGCATTACTTTAAGGACCCATTATAGTACAGATGTGAAAGGAGTGAACTTCTTAAAGTCTTCAGGCTGAAATTTTCTGTTTTATAAAACTGATGCTGCAGGAGAAAGATGCATTTTCTTTAATGTCATCTCAAATCCTTCTGTAAAAAAAAATAAATATAACTTGGTGTTAAAGATGCAGAACATGCCATACAGCCCAGCTCCCACATTTGAAAAATCAGATCACAAAGTTATGCTATGAACTCCTGGCATGGCACCTACTTCTCATCTGGAGAAGAGTCAAGTCTTTCCACTCACATTGTAAAGTTCAAGGTTATCTCATTATCTGATTACCAATAAGAAAGCAATATGTGCAAAGCAAGCTCTTTTTAAATCCCATTTCTATCACCACCCCCACCCCCTAGTTGTAGTCCACTCCTTTCTGAATGTCTGACCCCGCAAAATTTGGAGGGCCTAACAGACAGCCAATCCATCCAAGGCACCCCAAGTGAAGAAAAGTCAAGTTTAATCTGCGACGACACAAAATCCCGCTGCCCATATCTTGTGGCAGCGAGAGGAACGGTCATCGGGATCATTTTGCCTTACGCGTACTACTAGGACAGCAAAAGGCCTCCTTAGGACAGCTGCATGCATTTCTGCAGAAGAGATAACTTGTTTTAAAGCAAGTCCTCAACAAAATCCCAGTTTACAAGAGGCTCAAAAAAAAAAATACAGCCTTCTAAAAGCAGTGATATCTTTCAGTTATCAAAACACAGCCTAGCAAGATTTATAAGGTCAATTCAGAAATTGCTCAGCCACTGAAAGTGTGTCAGATAGCAATTAGCCACTGGTAAACTGTCTGCCATCATAACCACCACTCTGGGCTCTCCCTACCATGTCCCCAGCGGGCAAGTTGGCAGGGAAAACCAATATGAAACTGAAGGCTAACTCCCCACAACACTTACATCCAAGATTTCCAACAAAAATCCAGAGTGCACAGTGAGAAGTGAATCCAGCATCCCGCCTTGTCTTCCGATTCTCTAGCCTACAAAAACAAGGGGACATTTCTAGTTATTATGACCCTATTAAAAACAACCTCAAAGATCTACCAGTTCCACAGAAACCGTCTCTTTTCTTATATCTGTCCTCCACCTTTATTTTCATACAAACAGGATCTCTTGTTTAAAAGCCTTCCCACAGATCTGCTATTTCCTGCCTGGAAGTTTTACAGGTGGTTCTCTTTAAGACCACCAAATGTCAGCTTCTCCCCAGCAAAACTCACTTCATTTGCAGGTGTTGACTTAATTTGTCTGCTCAGGGCATGTGTGTAATCAGGATAGATCAGATGAAACACGGACTGAACATGCAGTTCATCACAGCAGACTACTGTCAGGCCTGCAAGTGGCAATGCAGAATCCCTTCCATATATCTATCTAACCCACTGATGCACAAATGTGAAACCTTAAGAGTTGAAAACTTCAGCTTTTCCTCACCCAATATCCTCCTGTTCAAACATGAGACACCCTGGTTTCCCCAACTGTACCTGAGGACAGATACAATTCTTGGATGCAGACAGACACAAGAAAGGTAACTTTACACAGCACTACTGAGGATTGATACAAGAATATTGTATATGGTTTTGGTGCCCACATTTTAAAAAGAAAGTTGCAGAACTGAAAGGGTGCAAAAATGGACTAGCTGTACAATAATTTTTGAAGGAAATGTATACTAGGTACCTTCATAGGTGGAAAAGTGCTAGGGACTAAAGGAAAACAAACAAAAATGCACAGAAATAATAAGTAGTCATTGCCTCAAGCCAGACTAATTCAAATTGGTCAGTAAGCCACAAGTTTCTAACCAGAAGCAATTAGCCATTCGAACGCACTAGCAAGGAAGTGAAAGATTCTTTCAGGTTCTTGCCTTCAAATGAAGACTTGATACCTTGATGGAAAGTACGCTTTAAAGCAAACAAGTTACAGGTTTCAACGCAGGGTAACTGGGTGAAATTCTAAGACCTGTATTATAAAGACTAGATGATCTAATGATCCCTTCAGGTCTTGACCTTTGAAGTCCACATGCCTTTTTAATATACTGGCCATACAATGGTTTTCTAATGGCACAGCAAAATTACCTGTGGAGACACTGATATGAGAGGGGCTAGTGTAAATAGGGACGGTCTGCCTGACTCTAGAAGGCCCACTGTGTTAGCATGGCCAACAGCACACAAAAGTGATGCGGCAAGAGGTCTCGCCACCTCTAACGGCCCAGTTGTAAAGGGGTATCCCACTGTTAAGTTGGGGAAACGGGGGGCAGCCTTCAGCAGGCGTCTGGAGCAAAACTCCAGAAGACACTGCAAGACGTCTAAATCTCTATGCCACTATACTTTAAGAGGGGCTGGTGCAGGACTTAGTGGTGATATAACTGAGTATAAAAGTGAAAGGAGTCAGGACAGCATAGCAGAGATTACTGGATGGTGGTCTATGCCCTACAGTATGGAAAAGTCAAAACAAATTAATGGCCTCCCTTTGGCTTAAATCTTGACCTCTCCCATGAAATACTTGAAAGTAGAACAGACACCAAAAATTAGTGCTTCTTTCCTTCTGTGTACAAGTCACTTCAAGAAACTTTAATGTGATCACAAGTTTGGACATCATATTCATAGATTTCATAGACATTAGGACTGGAAGGGACCTCGGAAGATCATCGAGTCCATTCCCTTAGGTCCCTCTGAAAGTCTTTAGCTTCCTCCCTCTCTCTTTATTCTTATATTAAAAAATTAAATTAAATCAGAAATGCTGACACACTTTTCCCCCCCCCAGTCTTTACAATATAAATGGACAATACTGAAAGTCTGCTGGGCAGGAGACTCACGTGCATATACATTCCTTAACATAGTAGGCCCTAATCTTAGCTGGGGCCTCAAGGTAATAATGCAATACAAGAGAAAAGAGGATTGAACCAACAGAAAGCAAGCACCTTGTATTCACCAGTCACCATATCAGCTGGTATTTCCTTTCTAATCCTCAAAAAGATCAAAGCATGCCATGAATACATAGGAGATTTATCCTTATCTCAACTCAAGCATGCCAGAGAAACTCAAGTCCTTTTTCTTTAATGCCCTGCCTAAATTAAATATTCTTACCTTTTGTTTTAGGTGCTTACAAGATCCAGGATGTGTCATTGAAGGCCATTTTCAAAATGACCCATTGTGAATAGTTTCTCCATTTTCCCCACTAAGGTCCTGATTATTTTGTAGGGGTGAGAAGCAAGGGGAGAAGCCCCTCCACGCTCTGAAACAGGAAAAGAAACATATATAAGATGACCTCATATGCACGTGACTGATAGTGCTCTTTCTCCCATTTTCTTTTCCCCACAAAAGCACAAAATGGCAGCAGTGCAATTGTTGGTTTCTGTCCACATTTGTATTAAAACGAAACCAAAACAAAGCAAAAGCATACACCCAAATATGTTTGATTTTTCTGTTGCTTGCACGTTTTCAATCAGCTGCAATGGAATTGACTCCTGATCTACAGAACACTAACCAAAATACCTACTTTTTCCTCTTAACTCCTGCTGATATGTGTAGGATTGTAGTAAACAGATTAAAGTTAATACACTGATTTTAATTCATTCAAACTGGCCTAGCTTACGTAAAAAAAAAATTCTCTCCTAAGATTCACAGGAAGTGAGCCCTTAAAAAAGGCAAACTTGTTTCAAGAGTAGGGACAATGCTTGGCATAATAAAAAGTGTTTCTTTGCTTTTTCGTATGTGCATGCTTTTTCATAAATTAAAAAAAAAAAAGAGCTGGGAACATCTGCTACACCCTCCAAAGCCAGAGCTGAAGGTCTGACATCTTTCTGCCTGTATTAGCTAGGGAAAGGTGTACAAACTGAATTAAGTATGGCATGAGTAGACAGGTCAAGGTAGACAGGAATAGAGTCTGGAGGCCTCTTTCAAAGTTTAAAATTAAAGGCTTTGCTCACGCACCAGTTCAACTTGTTATTGCTCCTGGATCCGAACACCTGATGCTGCTGTATGCAACTGCAACTCCCTCTCTCTTTAAGAGTTTCCTTTCACACCAACTCATGCATCTCCATGCTTTAAAAATAATGCTTCTCAGAGGCATCCGTTTCTTCCTAGATGCAAATTCCATTTCCAACCTGAAATGAAATGAATTCAAATAGGAGTTTAGGATATAGACACCAAAACCTGACCACTATACCACATACTGCTGCGACCATAGGAGAATAAATACTTCCACAACTAGAATTTCTGCTCGCAAGAACAAAGTTCTGTGTTCAAGTGTAACTCATGCTAAAATAAGGCCTGTCTTCCTATGGTTCCCTTCACTTAAAGCTTTGGATACTCAGGGCTGAAGCGGGTTAGATTACTTAACTCAAGCCGCCTCCTCTGAAAAAAAAAATCTCAAAAACCAAATGTTTAAGGCTCGCTCACTATATGGAGTCCTTGAGACCTAACAGGGGAAACTGAAATCAATGGGTGTTTGTTTAGGGACCTAAAAATCTTTTTAGGTCAGTGATTCTCAACCAGGGTGCCATAACAGCCTTTTCAGGATACTGCCATGGGCCTACTCTTCCTCCCCCAGCAGGCTCTTCCCTGCTGGCTGCTGCTGCTCCTTTCCCAGACCCTCCCAACCAGGTAAGCACTGCAAAAAGTTAGTTTTTGAAATAGGGTGCCACTCTACTCAATTCACAAGAGTTATGGAGGGGTGTCTCAAGTCTAAAAAGGTTGAGAATCATTGCCCTAAACGTTACAGCACCTAGCTTTTAGGTGTCTGCTTGCCTAGTGGGATCGGCAACAGATTTAGATGCTAAAACCAGGCTCCAAAACAGCCAGCACCGGGTGCCGAGCTACCTAGGCCAACCAGTAAGGATCACGTAGGTCAATCTCAAATCCTGCTTCTCTCTCCCCACAGACTTGTAACAACTACTAGTGTAGCAGGTTAGTGCATGCCCAGACAAGGCTTCCCCCCACCCCCAAATGTTGAATTAACCTTAGAGAAACCTCTTCCAGGCCTGTATTGACCTTGTGGTGCATCTGAAGAACCAATGCCCAGAGCAAGGGAAGGAACCTCTGGAGGTTTGTAGCCTACTGTACACCCAGCATCTGCACTGTATCCAAAATCCTCCGAGTTACCATTAAAAACCTAGGTTCACCCTTCTTACTCTTAAGGGTTACTCTTAGTTTTACAACAGTTTCAGAATACTACAAAGCAGTGTAAGTAGCAGACTGGGGGGCTTCATAACTTCTGAGCCACCCCCAGGCATTTAATAAGAGTTC